CCCAGAGAGGAGCCGCCAACTTTTGGGGATGGTGGAATGCCCAGAGCCCCGTCGGCACGCACAACCCCCCCACCCCCGCTCTTCCGCATCCCCTCATCGCCCCTGAGGGCTTACCTGGCAGGGAAGCTGAAGCACGCAAAAGACTACGAAAGCCAGCGTGGACCGTCCACCCATTTTGGCAGGGCTGATGAAGCGGGGGAAGGGGAAGGAAAAGAGGTCTGGGCTTCTTCCCTTCTTGTCCCCGGTTTTCCTTTCCAAAGGAAGAAGCGGCAAACCAAGACGAGCTTCTGTCAAGTCGAAGATCCGGACGTTTCTCCGCTCCGAGCCTGGCCGGAGGGGGATTAGAATGAAGATTTATTTGTTTGGAGTCTCTCTCTCGCTCTCTCTTTCTCCCCCCCGCGACCCCCCTCGCCGATGCCTTTCAGATACGCCCTTTAGTTGACTGACAGATCTTGTTTTAAAGATGAATTAGGCGCAAGGAAAAAGGACTACCCTCCTCTTGGCGCTTTGGTTGCTCTGGCTCCAACCAAAGCAGAGAAAAAGCCACTTTAATTCCCAGGGACGAAGAAAAAAACTTCCCAAAGCAGATTAAAATAATGAACGATCTGGAAATCCCTCAGGGGACGAGAAGATAATTCCCGGTGGCTTCAGGCGAAGAGTGGCGGGTTTTTTGTTTTGGCGTGCATGTGTTTTTAGTTTTGCAGAGGGGGTTGGCGATTACGCACAAGCAGCCGTTTTCAAATCCCCCAAGCTTTTGCTGGTTGCCACTTTCTGGCAATGAATTCCAATCGATGTGTTGCTTTTTTTTTTTAACCAAAAAAAAAAAATCCAAGCCGAATTTCACCACCACCACCCGCGCAAAAAAAAAAAAAAAGGCAAAACGTTGCTTCGTAGGTTTCCAAAGTCGATGGCTCAGCGGTGCCCGCGTTAATGTCTACTCTCCGCTTTAGTCATGGGTGAGCTTTCGCCTTGAAACTGCCCGCGTGATTGGGGTAAAATTATTTTCCCTTTTTTTTCCTTTTTCTTTTTTTTCCGGTTTTTTTTTTCTTTTTAATTTTTTGCCCACTGGCTTGCTCTGTAGCGCTAAGGATCTGCCTGCGTTCGGGCGCCTGCCTGCCTTATATCTCGCCGGCCGCCTGCATGGCTAATGAGATGCAAATGAGCAGCCCCCCAATCTGGCTAGAGCGGTCACAAAGGAACCACTTTTCCAAGCCTCCCTCTCAATGGATCGCCAAATGGTCAGTGAGCTGTAAAATGGGCAACCCTCGTCGTCTTCTCCCCCCCCGCCCGCTCCAGCTCCCACCAAAATCTTTAAGGGGGAGGAGGGGGCGCTGATTTACATGCCTGCAAATTTGGTAACCGCAAGAACCGACCTTCCCCGCCACACGAACACCCTTGCTCTTCTTTCCCAATACAGAGGCTCGCTCGCGCTTTTTCTTCTCCGAATAGAAAAAACCTTTCAAGCAACAAGAAAAAAACCGATGGATTATTGGAAACGTCTTTAAAACGCGCCTATGCGTTCGCGTGCGCGCACCGGGCTTTTTTCTTCTCGCTTCTTTTCTTAAGCAAAGAGTCTGCAGGGATGCGTAAATCCGCCCAGTGTCCTCGAGCCTTTCCGACATCGGATTACAATTCCCATCACCTTGACCCAAAGTGATGGGAACTGTAGTACAACGCATCTATCCAGCGCAGAGGAGTCTCTCTTCCGCTGGGAATCCGGCATCTCTTTGAACTCTCCTTTTATGTTTCATAATGTCCCAAGTCTTGGGAGAAACGAGACAAGGGAAGGAAACGCGATTTCGGGAGACGTGGACGCAGTCAGATTCCCAAAGTGTCTTGTTGTACAGTCTTGTTGGTTTTTTTTTTTTTTTCAAAGGCGGTTAAACCCTCGGTTAGTTGCGCTATGGGGTTTGGGGGATCCTAGAGCCAGGGATACGGGCGATGAGTTAGATGGGAAGGTTCCAAAAAGTCCCTGCGCGCTTTTCCCTGGATCCTTACGCGCAATAACCCCCACCCCCACCCCGAAGACGTTCAGTTGCAAACAATCCGGAAAAGACCCTTTGCCTTGTGTTAAGTTCCAAGAGCGGGGAGAAGGGGGAGGGATGGACGAGAGAAGTTTGGCTGGGTAAACAGCCTTGCTTTTTAAAGACCCCAAAAAGAAGCTCTTTCAGTCCCTCGCTCCACTCCAGCCCCCCCCCTCCTTTTTCCCTTTCCCCTGAATTCTTGGCGAACTTGCAACGGTCGAAGCCCCGACTTCGTTTCTTCTCCCCTTCTCTCCCCGTGCCTTGAGCTGTCTCTTTCTGCCTTTTTCCCCCCTTCTCTGAGCTTACTTTTTTGTGTTGTGTGTGTGTTTAACGTGAGCGGTGTGGGTCGTTCGCGTGGCTGTCATTAAGGCAGTTTGTTATTATGGGAGGCCTGCATCAGTTGGCGCTTTGTGCCCTCAGCTGTATGGTAATGTGGACAAGCACCTGCTCTCTGCACAATGCAACCGAGAGAAAGAGCTCCCCTCAGCGCACGCTACTGACTCTACAACAATGTGCGCCCATTTTAAAAAGAAATCCCTTTCCACGGCCTTCCTTCCCCCCCCCACCTTATCCGAAATGGGGGGGGGCTACTCTGTGTCAACCTTATTTTTTTCCCCTCTCTTCTCCTCCCCCCCCCTTTCTTTTTAATGCATTTATCAACGCGGAAACTTTTATATTGGTTAAAATGCACACGTGTAAGAAAAAAGAACGCCCCGCTATCAGAGCAAAATTTAGTAAGTGCATTCCTGGAAGCAAATTAAGCAACAGCAACGCCAGGAAGTTGGCCTTGATAGGGCAAGGAAGATGCGCCTCCTTGCAAAACCCCTCCACAAACAGGCAGTTTTAAGGCAGCCTGAACTGTGCGCAAACGTCATTTGAAATGCTAGAGATTCCGGGGCAGCTTAGGATGGTGAAAGAGAGAGGTTTGGCTACGAAGGGCTAGCTGAGCTCCCTGTTCCTACGGCCCGCTGGAAATCTTTATGGCCGCATTATGGGATTTGAACGGCCTTTCCAATGATAAAATGCGACTTTCATTGAAGCAGATGGCTTGATCACAAATTGCCTTACAATGTGCGTGTTGGGCGTGCGGAGGAGGGGGTGGAGTGAGGAGCGCAAGAGGGGGGAAAAAAAATCTAAACCACTTCATCAAATCCAATTGCTGTTGAAGGTCAATTAAAAGAAAATCACTAATTGGATATGCATTGGAGAAGACAAGTCTACTTTTCCTGTGAATATAATAGCTGGGTTTATCCACCATGGTATGCCATAAAATAGTGGTTTTTGATTATGTACGTTTAGCCAATTAAGGGGGTAGTTTTTGGAGGGAGAAGACTGTTGTTAAACAAACCTTAGTTTAATGCAAGGTGTCAAAGCACAGCATAGGGGATGCATTTTCTGCAAAATGTTGGCTCTTCCTGATCAAATATCTTAAACTTGTGTTCTTTTTGCTAGGTTTGCACTGGAGGGTATACGAAAATAGTTCACAAGCAGAGAGGCAACATTCCAGCCATGTTGCTTGGTCTCTGATAGGTCTGGATAAGTTTTTGCCTCGGTGCACATAATCTGTTGGTTGGAACACACTGACTAGAGGCCCAATGGTCAGATTTTGGAGATGGTACACATCATCTTGCACCAAGCAGTCTGAGTTTATGAAAGGAGATTCAGAGAGCCAACCAAGGCAAAAAAACAATAAAATGACCATCATCTTCACCTCAAACTAATCACCTCAAAACGGCACAGTGATTTTCACTTTAGCCACAGTATGCATGCCTGCTTTTAAAAGGTCCTATATTTAAGGAATGCAGGCTGCTCCAGAACAATAAATGATCCAAATATACCACAGAACCAGTGAAGAAATGCTGTTTATTTAAGTTTGCATGTCAAATGCATGGATACGGGTTTGTACATTTAGCTTCCTATTTGTCTTCTCTTTTTCCAGGCAGAGATTCATTTAAAAAAAATCCCAATAACTGAGAAATAAATTAGTCAGAATAGTCATCTGGGTATCTTGAAAATTCATCTGGTTACTCTGCTAACCTATACCTTATTGTAAGTTTTCTGCATCTGGTGCTTTTCGTGTATATTGGCCTACAAAAGATGGGGATTGTAGTCCAATGAACAAGAAGAGCATCTGGATGGGGAATGCTGATGGACAAGATATATGGAAGATAGATTAATCTAAAATAGGAAATGCCTGTGGAAAAAAACACAAGGAAAAGTATACAGAAGGAAATCTGAGCGTGGAATAAATTAAAGTATGGTATGCCTGGGTAAGTGCATTTCCACAGAAGTGTAAATTGATCCTTTGCTGCTCAGAATCACAAAACAGCAGATATGTTTGTAGTTGTATACCGCAAATGTAAATGTTTTCTGAAGAAAATAATTGTGGTTGCATTACATTATTGGTCTGATGCAACCTGTTTAGAAAGAAAAGGAATTTTTTCTAACTACTTTAAGGCCCTAGGCAGCACTTCCTCTTGAACCCACTGGCTGAAATCTTGTAGTGTTTCATTTAGGGTTGCAAGTGTTGGCAAGTTTTTCGAGTTTGGACACATATTTTAATTTTATACCACTGATTCACGTAAAGTTTTATTTAAACAAGGAATATCGTCTATTCATCTGTAATTAATTCAGTACATTGAAGTAACATTATTATTCAGAGTTTTTGTAAAAGCTCAAGAGATTTCATTGTAGCAGTTGTCTTCAGAGATTGTAAACAGGGTGAATAAGACTCATTCTTCAAATGCTTTAGGTTCCTTATTGGCCTTTGAGGCAATGTTCAGAGAACTTATAAGCATACCATCTACAACAGCTAAGAAATATACTGGAAATACCCTCCAAAAACTGAGCCAGAAGCATTTCTGTCACCAGGGGTACTATCAAAACGAAGTGGAGCTGGAGTACAAAAGATTAAAAACCACCCTTCTGGATCTCATTAATACCAAAGACCCTTGTGCAAAACATGTCCTCTTGTGCAAGAGAAACCCTCTGTTTGTTTTTCATAGACATTTGCCAGGCTGGAGAATGAAGAGATGCAAAGAGAAATTTGTTGTGATGGCATCTTTTCTTAGGTCAGTTAAGTCAGGGGTGTTGTAGAATAAAGGCGCAGTAGAGTTAGGATCCATGGTGATTTGGTCTTAGAGGCCAGACTTTCTGGAGGTTCATTTGACATTCCTGTTATGGGAAGGAGTGTGAATCAAAGTTAACGCGTGCAAGGGCTTAAAAGGCCTTGATTCTCTTGGATCACCCCTGCCCCCCCATTAAAAAAAAGTCTTCCCAAACCTTTTTTGACTAACCTGCCTTCTCTCTCAAGGATTTGTTAAATTGACGCAGCACAGATTTCTCGATTAGGTCTGCAAAGTGGAACTGAAAGGCGTCATAAAATCCATCAGAATCCTGCCCAAAGCGCTTATTCTCTTCCAACTTAATTTATGCCACGCGATTCTGTATTGGGGAAATCAAGCAGAAAGCTCTTTTTTTTTTTTTCCCTTGCTCTCCCCTTCCTCTTTGCTTTGCCCCCCCCCCCCCTTCTCAGATGCTTCTGGGCTAACAGGGAGACTGTTTAACTTAAGTGTTTCTATAGGAGGCTGTTGTAGTTTAACTCCTGCCCACCAGTAGCTGGGCTGAACAAAGAGGAGACTCGAGGTCTCTCCATTCATCCTTTCTCCGCGCTTTAATTTTCATTGATTTTGAAGACAAGGGGAGCCCTCAGGGATTCGAGCTGAAGGGGGATGACACGCCTTTAGATGCAATCCACCCCCCTGGCCAGCCATCTGCTCCTAACCAAATGGCGTTTTTTCATCCTAGCTCCTGCATGTCTCTAGATTCCGCTCTCACACTTTCAGCTTCAGTCTTTCTAGCTGGCTCTTCCCCGCCCCCCCCCGCCCCCCAAACTCAATGCAAAGGCAGCTTAAGTTAAAGTATGTTGAATAGACTGGGGGGGGGGGGGAGAAGGGAGGGTGATTGGAAAAAACCCAACCAGGGGAAAAAAAAGTGATAAATCCTTACCTTTTTCATTAAGGCAGCACCACAAGCCCCTTTTAAATACTTTTTGATTCCTCAGCAAATTTACTGTACTATGTTGAACTCATTAACCAGTGCTGACAAAATGTTAGAAGCAGAAGACAAGGTGAATTTGTTCCTGTTTAGAGGGGGGGAGGGAGGGAGGAGGAAGCAAGATCTGAGATGGGGGGGGGAACCTGAAGCTCTTTCTGTGGAGGGAGGGGCAGAGAGAAAAGAAACCCTGTCCTTTGAGCAGCCTGAGAATTTGGCCAGTTGGCTCCAAAAGGCTCTGAAAGAATTTCAGATTGGAAAGTCTGGTGATCTAAGAAGTGGAAGATTTGCGACTTCCTTCTAAGGGGGATGCAAAGAACCCTTGTAGTTACCTTTCTCCAGCAAGATCGTGAGCGGCCTTTTCTACGCAACAGTCATAACTAAGGGGCAGAGAACTTGTTTGATCTGGAAAAAGTTCAGCCCAAGACACCTCCAAGTAAGAAGCTTTAGGGAGCCCTTGGACAAGTGGTACCTGTACTAGATATCAATGATAGGGGGCTACCTGGATTCATTAATATGGTTTTTTAAGATTCTTTTCTATATTCCTAAAACATGAAGTTTATAACCATCAAGGCAACATATATTTCCTCTCCCATTTGTTCCTTGAACACAGAGAGTTCAGTTTAACTGTCATATTCATACTAAATTTGTACGGATCTCTACATAGCCAGAATTAAGGTAGCTATGGAAGTAATACAAAAAGGAAGCATCCGTTTAAAGAAGGAAATAGCAAAATGTACAGATGTTTTTTTAAAAAAAACTATTAAAAACCGAGTTAAGGGGCACAGGATGCAGACTGTTGAAGGGAAATGGAAAAGAGGATGGAATGGAGCTTTCTAAAACGTAAAGGTAAAAGTTCCCCTCACACATACATGCTAGTCCATTGTTCCTGCCTCTAGGGGTCGGTGCTCATCTCCGTTACAGAGCCGAAGAGTCAGCGCTGTCCGAAGACGTCTCCATGGTCATGTGGCTAGCATGACTAAACGCTGAAGGCACGCAGAATGCTGTTACATAGGTGGACAGCAGGCACCCTGGGTAAGATAACTACAAACAAGATTGCACCACATTGTAAAAGTCCTATTTCTCCTGGAAAACTGGAGCCCTCATTATCAAGAACTGCCAATTATCCAGCCAGTTTGGGAGAAGTAAAATCAGGTAAACTTTTGCTGGATACAATCAGATGTGATGTGAGCATGTGCTCAGCCTCTTATCACTAGGTTAATGGCCAGCAGCAGTCTATAAGTCATGCCACTAACTGGACATTGAATAATCACTGACCTGAAAATATTGGGATCTACATCATAACATGCCTGGCATAGTGATACGAACACAAAATCTTCAATCTGGGCAGCCCAGTTATGGTATTATTTCTATTTCCAGATACAGTATGGGCTAGATGAAATTAAAGACTTGGAGGAGAGGTCTTATATGGTTATAGCAGCAGATTCCATTGATTCCATTAATTCAATATCCATAGAATCCAAGTCAGAATGACTCAGTAATTCCATTTGGAACCTCTTGACTCTTAGGATTAGTCAATGTCATCCCCCCACCCCACCCCGGCATCCTATATGGATCCACTGAGTAAGTAAAATGACACTTTTAAGAAGGGTGGTATGGTTAACATTACTTACTTGAGGTACGGATTATATAATGGCTCATCGCTGGTGGGAAAGCTTGATGTCGGGCTAATGCAACCATCCTTCCCAATCCCAGTGTCTTCCAGAAGAAACAGACAGCAACTTCCATCATCATCCTCAGCAGTATAGGCAGTGGGCTAAAATAGGATTAGATGGGTTTTTTTATAAATACAAAAAAAAAATCAACCCAAAGTATTGTTATTAATTAGTGGTAGCATCACCTAGTTTGCCATTAATTTAATCTCCTGGAAGGCTCTCCACCCACAAAAGATAACTCTAAGGCACGAGGCATTGACTTGGAGGAAAATGCTTTGTGGTCCAAGCTATATTGATTAATATAATAAGCTAGATATTTTCATGTACACTGGCTGGGTGAACTATGATTCAGTTTAAGGTAAGAAACATGGTAACTCCAGCTCTTGGAATTCCCTGCAACATAGCAAGGAATTAAGAGGGTCATAGTCCAAAACATCTGGAGAGTTCCAATTTGCTTATCCTAAATGGATTTAGGGATCAATCCACAACCAAGATCAAATATTGGCAAAAACCACCTTGGCTGAATAGATGTGGCTTTAGTTTCTTTTCCCAGAGGTCATGTGTCTCATTTTTCAACTGCATTTACTTTCAAGTAAACTCTGCATTCGCAAGAGCTTGAATGGATCGTGTAGGCTTGGAGATTAGGGTTACTTTTATCTGTCTTGGAGTTCAATTCTGCTAAAGTCAAAAGTATATATAGATCATAATTCAAATAATTGGAAAATGGACATCAATCATTTCTGTGCAGAGAACTTGGAAATGAAGTAGATGCTCCCCAATATTATCTTAAAAACATGTTTGTGATAGGTCCACAACTTTCATATGGGTTGAGCACAGTGGAATATTTAGCTGATATTAATATGAAAAAATTTATACCCACCTTAGGCACAAAGCCAGCTGGGTAATCTTCTCAAAGAAAAGAGGCAATAGCAAACCACTTCTGAAAAATCTTGAGGGGAAAAAAAACCGCAGGGATCTGTCCAGGCAGTCTACAAGAATCTTAATACAATCAAATGGAATAAAAAAATGAAAACAGAAAGAGGTGATTTTCCACTTTGACAAAAATCACTACAGCCTGCAAGATTAACTCAAAGGTGAACAAAGCATTTATTTCTTCATGAAATATGCAAGTTCCGAGAAGTGTTGATCTTCCAACAACTCTTTCTCTCTATGAATCCAGAATACCCATCTAGCATAATCAGGATTCACAGCAGAGAAAGCCTACTCTTACCAATCTGGAAGGTCTAAACCAGGGGTCCCCAAACTTGGCAACTTTAAGACTTGTGGACTTTAAGCATAGCTGGCTGGAGAATTCTGGGAGTTGAAGTCCACAAGTCTTAAAGTTGCCAAGTTTGAAGACCTCTGTTCTAAACAGCTATTATTATGGGAGAGGGATTTCATACTAAGTAATGTTCTTTGTCGCGTTGTAAATATAATAACCCGCAAGGTCAGCTCTGCTGTTAGGCAAAAAAAAAAATTGCCTCAGAGGGATCAGCTTGGGCATTTCTTTGAAAATAGTTTTTGGTTGTTCCCCAGTTTTTAGTGACAGCTACCAGGGAATGGCATTTGTATTATTATTTTTTCCTACTCTAGATACTGACATTACTTTACCAGAAGGCTCCTGCACATTTTATATTCCTGCATCAGCAGGTCTTGTGCCAGCTCTAACAATCAGTGACTGATAAGATTTACAAGAAAGTAGGATTAATTTTTGATAAAGATCTTAGTTTCACCACACACAAAAATAGATTTTAAACACCCACACAAAGCCAGTTTGGTGTCTTTTTAACTGCTCAATCAAAAAATCGAAATTGTTACCAAGATTATGTTTGTTTTGACACCGCCTCACACTAAATCATCTCCAGGGATCAAATTTATTCCTTAGGGTACTCACTTGAAGCCACTGCCTCAGATGCCCATCTGTTTCAGGGACTAGAATGGGGTGTCAATGATAAGATAGCTGCAAAGACAAACTCAATGAACAGAAACAGTCCACGTTCACAGGTGACCCTGGTGGTCTCTGGAACAGCGGTCACCAACCAGTGGGCCGCGAGAAAGTTTTGGTGGGCCGCAGAGAAATCTCACGCCCAGAGCACCCCCCAAAGCAATTAATCCAGGCTGCGCAGTAACACATGGCTGCACCGCCCATGTGGCCCACAGGAACCCTCCCCGCCCACTAACTCCTTACCAGCAAACTTGCCTGCTAAATTGCTATTTTTCTGACCATCAGCTGTGAGATTTAGATTAACTAGGAAGCAGGAAATGGTTGGATTTCTTTCATTCTAGCTAGCCTTTAGATCTTCAGCTCTGCTTTTAAGCACAGCCGAACTTCCCTTAGGACTGAAGGTTCTATTATTCAGTGCAGGCCCACCGCAAGCAAATTTGAGAGACTGAGCTAGCCGATGGCAGGTAGATAGATCACTGAATGATTCTGTGAGCAACTCCATCTGCCTGTGTGCTTTGCCTGATTTTGGGTAAAAGTTGCTCTTTTTTAATAAAAAAATCAATATTTATATACTTATATTTACATACATGCCATGCCCAGCCAGTCACATGACCACCAAGCTACACCCACAAATTAGGCCGTACCCACAAATTAGGAACTGGTTAGTGGTCCCTGGGATTTAAAATTATGAGTTTGGTGGTCCCTGAGGTCCAAACGGTTGGTGACCCCTGCTCTAGAAGGAAACCAATTCAAAGGGGCATTATCAGGTGTAGTTCAAAACACACTTCACTTGAGAGTAATCCCAATTGAACAGAATGGCAATTAAAATGTCCTTGATTTGAGCAGGATCTGGCTTCACAGATGTAATCACTAGTTTCTTGGCTTCTGATAGCCTATTCCTGCAACAATCTTCAATCTTCCTCCCTCTCTCCTGCTTCTTTTGTGCAGGTCACTGAGAATTAATGTGGGAAAGGAATCCTCTCCTCTCCTCCTCCAGCAATTCCGGACTTTCACATGCTGCAAAAATGAAAACGATGGGAGTTGGGAAAGGGAGAAAATGGGGAACACAATGAGCCGGCACCCACCGAATTGTGGGGGGGGGGGAGTTCTCCCTCCCTCTCACCCACCTTGGAAAGGTCGAAGCCCACGTATTGATTTTTTAAGAGAGCCGGGCGAATAAGTTTCGGCTGCTCTGCAGGTTTGTCGAAAGTTGTAAAGGCATGTGCTGATTAGAATAAGAAAGGGCGGTCGCGTGGCTCAGCTGGCACACAGAGAAGCCAGATGACAGATAAGCACCAGCTCCCTGTGACCGCTCCCCCACCCCCTCCGCGACTTCCCCCGGTTCCGCTTCTCCCTCTCTCCGCCTCTCCCTCCCAGTTTTCCAATCGCGAATCATCTGCTCCTCTCCTCTCCATAATAAAGCAGGCGTGTTTACCTGGGATCGCAGAACCGGCGGGGCATTCCTTTGTTTCTTCATCAGATTGCTGCCGCCAGCTGCTCTTTCCAGCCCTTGCTTCAGCAGATCTGATCGGGGGGGTGGGGGGAGGAGGGGGCGCCTAAACTGTGGCCCAGGGAAAAATCCTTGAGTTAGGAAGGAAGGCAAAGAAGTCTCACTCACCTTCTCCTCCGTTGATTTCAATGGAGAGAGCCTACTTGGGGCTCCCTCCCTTCCCCCCGCCTCCTCCTCCACGCCCGCTCCCCCCCTCCCCTGATTTCCCCCCAACCCGGAAAGGGCTTT